TTTATAACTTTTATATTATTTTTGGGGTTTAAATATAAAGCACCATTTATAATTCTATAACATTTTTTTGAATGATTACTATAAAAGACATAAAATAATCTGATCTTATTTAGTTCAATATTTATTTATACTCCAATTTTTGGCTCTATTTGTATAGAATTAATTTCAACAGGAACAAAATCGCGATAATGTTTATTATACGATAGAATTGGCAACATTTACATAAAATATTAAGTAACAAATTTATTTTATAACTGTTAAATTGCTTGGAATATGTGAATCTGCGTATAGAATGGCTAAATGACTACCTGGGTGGATGAAGGTTCATAGTGATCTTCAATTATAATTGTTCATGGTATTCAATTTCATATATATATAATATATATGTATATATATATATATATATATATATATATATATATATATCGAATGTACTAGCTGACCCAACAGTTGTTTTGTACCCACGTCTGCAATTCAAAAGTTCAAAATTTTTTAATATCCAATACTAATATTTATTGTTTAGTTAAAAATAATAATTTTTATAATTCCGTGCCATATTTCAATTGGTTTTTACTAATTATAATATTCTAATTACATTTTTTTACTAATGACTTATTGTACATTATTACTTATGTTCATATTTTCAGTGAAGTAATTTGCCAAATACAGTACATACTGTGTTTGGCCACTAAAGGACAAGCTATCAAGTTAATAAGAGCTCATTTTTCCATTTATGAGAGGTATAGGTCTAAGTCTATTCGGCACTACTATTCCTAAAATTAAATTAGATCTAATTAATTATTATAATTATTTGAACTCTCGTTGATCATAAGGCAGAAATAAATACGGCTGTGGGGAATAGCATGTTACTTAATAGCTCCCAGGCAAATAATTCCCATTTGCTCGTGTTTCGTTTGTTTGGGGATTGCATTAATAACATTCGCTTTTTCTGCTTTGCCTTGTATACAGCCAATATTATATTTCTGGTTCGATATATTCGGCTCTCACAATTTTACGTTATCAAAATTCAGGCAAAATATAACAAAACTTTTTTTACTAATATAACTAAAATTTGCTATCGATAGTTACTTGATTAAGGATTGGTTACAACGCATGGATAGTTTATGCCAAAATTGATCATAAAACGATGAGCTCAACTTCAATATTGATGAAGTGAAGGGATTATGTAGACAACTAATACTTTTTTCTCCATGGAAACTGTACAATTTTCTCTATACTGCATTTTATTATTTATAAGATAATCTGTTAGTAACATAATCTGCACATTACTCTTTTTTTAACTTAAAAAAAAATCGAAAATTAAATTTTTTTATATATCTTTACGTTTCATATGTTTCTGAACATTTTGGCATACTTTATTTTAAACAGATGGTATGTTTTCAAGAACGAGTTTTTCGATTTTGATGAAACTTGACACACATTGTTACTATTCTTTACCAAAATTGTGACCAAAGTTTAAAGTTGGATCATTCAATAGTTTCTGTGATATTCGAAGTTGATGGGTGGCTGGCTCCGCTCTCAATACTGGTATTGAAACAGATTGTACGATTTCAAAATTGCATAATTCGATTTTGTTGTAACTTGACATACATTGTTTTTATACGTTACCAAGATTGTGACCAAAATTTAAAGTTGGGACATTCAATAGTTTCTGAGATATACGAAGTTGATGGGTGGCTGGCTCCGCGCTCAATACTAACATTTCTTTAGACAAAATGGATGTATGCGTGTGTGTGTGTTTGTGTGGATACAAATTTTTGCCGACGATTTTGGGAACAGGGATCAACCAATTTAGATAATTCAAAAAACATTCGATTTGTATTGATAAGGAGACGTGCTCATTAGTTTCGGCAAAGGTTGGTCTAACCGTTTCAAAGATGGGGCAAAAAGAACCAAAAACGGTGATTCAGTTTTTGAGAGAATGGAGCGTCCGATTTGTATAATTCAAAAAACATTTTATTTGTATTGACAAAATGAAGTACCTTGTAAACTTTTTTCAGGTCTAGCAGTTCCTGAGATACAGTGAAAAAAGTTCAAAAAAGTGTCATTTGGCGGTCAAAAAAAATCATTAGACATACGCACATTATATTATTAGATTTTTATAGAGATTTCAATAATAAGTATGAATTTTGTTTACATTCTTATAGGTTCCGTACAAATATTTATCCGTTAGCATGTGATGCAGCGCTTACGCGCTTCGATATTTTTTCTTTATTTGCTTTGAACAAATGTTCAAAATTTTCAAAAAAATTCAAAGTATATTCGGAATATAAAAAAATCCAATTTTTCGAAAAATTTTGAAGGCGTTTTAAAAATTCTAATTTTTGGTACGGGAAGTACAAGTACAAGTTTCGGTACTGTTTCGTGAAAATTAAATGTAGAAATTCAAACACATCTTAAGATGCCATATTGTACGAACTTTCACAAATTTCATCAGTACTTATTCCTTTCGAGAATAATTTGATTTTGTAATATTTTTATTTATTTATTTTTCTGTAATTTCAAAAAAATTTTGAAATTTTTTATATGAATTTATTTGGTCATCTGTTTAAAGTTATCCATTTACATGATTTACATTCTATAATTCAATTTTTGCATTTATATTTCTATTTTACGTTATGTTACTAATTACTCAAATTAAAACTATCTATACTACTATAATTCTATAAACTGTCTACTACTAATACTAATTTTACACTTCTAAGAAATAATAAATAACTTTATACACATTGATAATAATGTAAGCTGGTAAGATAAATGAGAAATTCGGAAGTTATCATGTGGAAACATTCATAGGTAGTTCATGAACAGTTACAAAAAGTACTTTTATAATTACTTAAATTGTCCCCCAAAAAATTGTAAGACATTGATTTTTTAAGCGTTCTTTATGTAATTATACACTATTACTACTATTTATTAATTTTAATAAATAGTAATTTATTAATTATATACTATTTAGTGATATTGCTTTATTAAAAATCAGTGAAATGTTTTAAAGTTAGGTTAGATGGCAATGCAAATGTCAATAATATATTTTATATTTACTAGTCAGTTAATATTTGGTTAATATTCGCATATTATATATTTTAACCGTAATTAACATTTTCTATTTTACGAGCTTAATAACAAACGCAATATGCATGTTCACCAAGTAATTTATGCGCACTGTATGGAATTATATCACCTACTGTTGAATATCAATATTAATTCACATCACATAAATAATACACACACACACATATTTATATATATATATATATATATATATATATATATACAGGGTATCTCAAAACTCGAGTCAAGCCGAAACAGGGTGATTATATATAATCAATTATATATAATCAATATTGATTCTGCTATGCAAAAATTTAGAAAAAAATATTAAGTTATTGCGGTTGAAATTTGTTAATTTTGTTCATTGTTCAAGACCACACTCAAAAATAAGAACACAATTGTCTCAAGATTTTACGATTTAAGATTTTTTGTTAAACTGTGACATTGCCATTTTTAAAATTAGTCGATTTTGAAAGGCTCTCTTTTAAAAAATATATAATAAAGTGTTTTGGCAAGTTTTATCGAAAATAGCGAAAAGACACCAAAATCGTAAAATGATGAAATATCTGAAAGCTTCATAATAAAAACTTTGAGTAAACTAAGTAACTGCGGTTTTTAGCTTAGTCTAAATTTTGCTAATTTTTTGTTTATTGCGTTGTAAAATGGAATATCAAATTGAAAATTGTTGTCACAGTTCACTTCTTTATTTCTGCAAAGGTAGTTTACTTCTTTATTTCTGCAAAGGTAAAAATGCATATTAAGCTCACAAAAAGTTATGAGTTGTTTATGGTGGCAAAGCCTTAAAACGACAAAAAAGTCGGTGATTAAAATGGACAATGCCTTTTAGAAACAAGTTAGTTAGTTCCACAAAATAACTGTTTTTGATTCTCTTACAAAAATCCACACTTAGTTGCCAACCTTATATATTGAAAATATTGTTCTTATTAGTTAAAACAAATTTAAAATTCAAATATTGCAGTGTTAGTAATTAGTTTAAAGATAGTTTTACAAGTATATTTTTTGATAGTAATACTTCTATAAGATCTTACTAAAAATATCATATAAAGGTTTGTATTTTTATGATCGTAATGTTTTAGTTTTTTGCCTGAATTCCTCCACCGTCTTGATATACACCGAAACGAATGGTTCATTTGTAATTTTAGTTTTTAAATTGGTATTATGGCTGATGAAATATATATATATATATATATATATATATATATATATCCACATGATCAAAAGAATTATATTAAGAATAAGCAGCTGCACTATATAACTACATTAGTCGACAGCAATATCAAACATTTGTTTACGTTTCAATCTCAAACTTTGTAAAACCAATTAAATTTATTAATAGAATATAAACTATGGGCAATGATTGATGTTCAAAGCACTAACATATTGAAGATATTATATAAGTTTATATAAATATGTAAACAAATTCGAAATGGGTTAGGAATTTGAATGAATGATGTTATAATTGGATTTAGTTCCAATTGATGTTATAATTGGATTTAGTTAGTGTTGCGACAAATTTTTAATCAACTTTTTATCAAGATTTGCGTTAAATCATATAATTAAATGTGAAATTCTTATAGTTATCTCAGAGCTACATAACTGCATCTACCCATAAATGTTGATAGTCTCTATTTTATAACAATTATTAACTCGTGTCAAGATTAAATAGATTAATTTATTAATCCTTTCCTCTCGCATTCCACCACTTCGAGGGAAAAATACATAATAACCCTCATCACTCGCGAATTCCGAAATTAATATATATATCGCCGCCGTAACGGCGACATCCGAGAGAAAAGGGTTAATTCTGCAAATCGCGAGTGAAAAGAGCTAAATGTAATATCTTCATTAATTTAAACATTTATCATATATGTAATTCAAAATTGATTATTGCAATTTTTTTCCAGGAATTGGAAGAAATATATACCGATCTCTGCAGAACCTTATCAGAATCTCTGGTGCAAGGATCTGAAATTATATCAACCCGGGTAAGTATATGATTTCATTTATGTAAACCTAAACCACATATTATATATATATATATATATATATATATATATATATATATATATATATATATAATTTTATAAACAATCGGATACTAGTTGTATTTATTTCATTCCAAACGCTACAGCAATCATTCATTATTTTCAGATTTTTTTAAAGATATTGTTGTTAGTTTATTTATTTTCAGCTTATAGATTTGCCTTAATGTATATTTTCTCAAATGTGTAGTTTTTTTATTTATAGGAAATGAGACAAACTATTTTCTAGAATCTAGCAATAATATAAAGTCATTAACTCATATTAAAACTTTTAATATATCTAAAAAAAATACTAAGCCGAATGCTAAAACTAGTAAATGGCTTTGAGGCAAACTATTGGAATTTTTTTTATTGATAAAAAAAAATTAGCTGGATATGTAAATGTAAAATCTATAGATATACTTCAGTATTTTACTCATTTTCCTTCAATATATTAATATGCCGGCAAAAAGTGCCAAGAACGGTAACACAGATTTTGAGAGAGAACGAAGGTCCGACATTTATTATTTGAAAAAAAAACAATTTACTTCTATGGATAAGATTAAAAACTGATTATATTTTTTGGTAAGGCAGGTCAGTAAAAAAAGAATCATTTGGCAGTCAGAAATGATCATTAGACACATGCACATCAAATTATCAGATATTTTATGATTTTAATAATACGTAGGTTAGATATTTATGTCTGACATGGCTCATGTAGAACTTCTTAGCGTCAGACACATATAAAGTGTTAATTTAATCGATATATTAGAAGATATCGTTAACTTATTATTACGATTTACGATTTCTATGTTTAACATATATTTGGTATTGCACGACTTTAGGAAAATATAGCAATATCAAAATCCATCGTCTAAATTGGATTTTTTTCAATACTTTCATCATCAAATCTTACACTGCTACCGGCTCAAGTTTATTGCTAGTACAATAAAAATGTATCAAATATCCATGTAAACAATATCTTTCTACGGGAAGAAACCATAAAATGCCTCCTATACTGAATTGTGGCACGATTTCGAGTATATTGGTCCGAACTTCCAACGCCTTCTCATCTGAAAATTGTATGTAAATAATAAATGACACAATCCATTTGATTTGGACAACGCGACCTTGCCCGGTTCTGTTTCCTTCTGCACGTGTGCTTGGAAAGGAGGTCGATTTTCTGGATTCATATAAAGATACGCTTAAAGCTATCAGATGTCAGTTCGAATTATTTAAACCCGATAATGTATCCGAGATATAGACGTTTTTCCAACTAGGAAAGGCGTTTGATTCAGCTCTTATGCGTCACATCTTGTTCGGGGGAAAGAAAGCTTTGCAATCGTTCGACCTGGCGAAAGATTTTGAAATATAACTTTAGTTGGTATGATTATGTAAGTTAGAACAGTTATAATTTTCTATCTTTCAAACAGTTATATGAGCTTTTGTGATGGACCTTTTACATACCAACAACGCCTTTTAGATAACTCGATGGTTGCCCTATCTATATTTGATACATTGTTAGAATTATAATCTTCCGAATACTTTAATTTGATACGTGAATATACTTGGCACCGCAATGGTGGAAATTCGGAATCTGTGATTTTTTTTTCTGCGATACAAAAAAGAAAAATTCAAAAAATAAATTTTGATTTTCATTTTTTTTCGTAGTATAAAAACGAATAGTTTGCGTCCATAATAAGTACTACGATGCTTTTCAATTTATTTACTTACCCCCAAAACAGACTTAATGAATCAATTAGTCAACAATATTTTGATAATTCATTAAAATTTTATATATATATATATATATATATATATATATATATATATATGTTCATAAAAGTATTCAATGTAATTTATTCTTATGTAATGAAATTTATTCTTACTATCCTTATCAGTGACTTTTTTTGCTGTCGAATGGTGTAATTAAAGGTTTACCGATCATAAATTTTCACGAATCGAAAAATTCTCAAATTTGCCAATTTAAAAAAAATTGACAATTTTGAAAATGCCCAATTTTTTTGCTAGTTTACTTAAATATAAAACAAAAAATTTTTTTTCAAAAAATTTCCGTGTTTTCAAAAAAATTTCCCTGCTTTTAAATAAATTTCCAAGTTTTCAAAAAAACTTTTGGGAAAAATGTCCCCAAAAAATTTCCCAAAAAATATCCCCAAAAAATATCCCCGAAAAATTTCCCCGAAAATATCCCCAAAAAATTTCCCCGAAAATTTTTTCCAAAAAATATCCCCGGAAATTATCCCCAAAAAATTTCCCCAAAAAAAATCTCCAGAAAATATCCCCGAAAAATTTACCCGGAAAATTTCCCCAAAAAATATCCCCAAAAAAATTCCCCATAAGATATCCCCAAAAAATTTCCCCAAAAAATTTCCCCAGAAAATATCCCCAGAAAATATCCCCGGAAAATATCCCCGAAAAATATCCCCGGAAAATATCCCCAAAAAATTTCCCCGAAAAATATCCTCGAAAAATATCCCCCGCAAATTTCTCCAACAAATATCCCCGGGAAATATCCCCAAAAAATTTCCCAGGAAAATTTCCTCAAAAAATATCCCCAGAAAATATCCCCGAAAAATATCACCAGAAAATATCCCCGAAAAATTTCCCCAGAAGATATCCCCACAAAATATCCCCGGAAAATATCCCCAAAAAATTTTCCCAGAAAATATCCCCAGAAAATATCCCCAGAAAATATCCCCAGAAAATATCCCCAAAAATATCCCCGAAAAATATTCCCGAAAAATATCCCCGAAAAATTTCCCGGAAAAATATCCCTAAAAAATATCCCCGGAAAATTTTACCAGAAAATATTCCCGAAAAATTTCCCCAGAAAATATCCGAGAAATATCCCCGAAAAATATCCTCAAAAAAATTATCCCCAAAAAAATTATCCCCGAAAAATTTCCCCCGAAAATTTCCCCGAAAAATTTCCCCGGAAAATATCCCCAAAAAATTTCCCCAGAAGATATACCCAGAAAATATCCCCAGAAAATATCCCTAAAAAAAATTCCCAAAAAATTTCCCCAGAAAATTTCCCCAGAAAATATCCCCAGAAAATATCCCCGGAAAATATTCCCGAAAATTATTCCCGAAAAATATCCCCGGAAAATTTCCGCAGAAAATATTCCCAGAAAATATTCCCAGAAAATATTCCCGGAAAATATTCCCGAAAAATATCCCCGAAAAATATTCCCGAAAAATATCCCCGGAAAATTTCCGCAGAAAATATCCCCAAAAAATTTCCCCAGAAAATATCCCCAGAAAATATCCCCAGAAAATATCCTCAGAAAATATCCCCGGAAAATATCCCCGGAAAATATCCCCGAAAAATATTCCCGAAAAATATTCCCGAAAAATATCCTCGAAAAATATCCCCAAAAAATTTTCCCAAAAAATTTCCCCGAGAAATATCCCCGGAAAATTTCCTCGAAAAATATCCCCCGAAAATTTCCTCGAAAAATATCCCCCGAAAATTTCCCCGAAAAATTTTCCCGGAAAATATCCCCAAAAAATTTTCCCAGAAAATATCCCCGAAAAATATCCCCAAAAAATTTCCCCAGAAAATATCCCCAGAAAATATCCCCAGAAAATATCCCCAAAAAATTTCCCCCGGAAAATATCCCCGGAAAATATCCCCGGAAAATATCCCCGAAAAATATTCCCGAAAAATATTCCCGAAAAATATCCCCGAAAAATATCCCCGAAGAATATCCCCAAAAAATTTCCCCGAAAAATATCCTCGAAAAATATCCCCGAAAAATTTCTCCAACAAATATCCCCGGGAGATATCCCCAAAAAATTTCCCAGGAAAATTTCCCCAAAAAATATTCCCGAAAAATATCCCCAGGAAATATCCCCGAAAAATATCCCCGAAAAATATCCCCAAAAAATTTCCCCCGAAATTTTCTGGGGAAATTTTTTGGGGATATTTTCTGGGGAAATTTTTCGGGAATATTTTTTGGGGAAATTTTCCTGGGAAATTTTTTGGGGATATCTCCCGGGGATATTTGTTGGAGAAATTTTTCGGGGATATTTTTCGAGGATATTTTTCGGGGAAATTTTTTGGGGATATTCTTCGGGGATATTTTTCGGGGATATTTTTCGGGAATATTTTTCGGGAATATTTTTCGGGGATATTTTCCGGGGATATTTTCCGGGGATATTTTCCGGGGGAAATTTTTTGGGGAAATTTTCTGGGGATATTTTCTGGGGATATTTTCTGGGGAAATTTTTTGGGGATATTTTGCGGGGATATTTTGCGGGGATATCTTATGGGAAAATTTTTTGGGGATATTTTTTGGGGAAATTTTCCGGGGAAATTTTTCGGGGATATTTTCTGGAATTTTTTTTTGGGGAAATTTTTTAGGAATAATTTCCGGGGATATTTTTTGGAAAAATTGTTCGGGGAAATTTTTTGGGGAAATTTTCGGGCAAATTTTTCGGGGATATTTTTTGGGGATATTTCTTGGGAAATTTTTTGGGGACATTTTTCCCAAAAGTTTTTTTGAAAACTTGGAAATTTATTTAAAAGCAGGGAAATTTTTTTGAAAACACGGAAATTTTTTTGAAAAAAAAATTTTGTTTTATATTTAAGTAAACTAGCAAAAAAATTGGGCATTTTCAAAATTGTCAATTTTTTTTAAATTGGCAAATTTGAGAATTTTTCGATTCGTGAGAATTTATGATCGGTAAGCCTTTAATTACACCATTCGACAGCAAAAAAGTCACTGATAAGGATAGTAAGAATAAATTTCATTACATAAGAATATTTATTTTTTTTTTTTTTTTTTTTTTTTTATATTTGACTTCGTTATATAACATTTGGTCATATACAAACATAATGAATATACATTAAGAATAAATACATAACATCTTATTACTAAATTAAAATTATATAACTAATTTAGATTTTACAATAAATTCATATAATATTTTATAATTTC